TTATAGTGAGTGTTTTACTCTTGCATTTGTTTGTGGGTTAGGTGTAGGGGACCCCCACCCTTCCCCCAAGCCCCATCAATACAGTGCTGTTCCTAAATGGTTAACAGAACCAGTTTCGTTGCCAGGGCACCCTCACGAAAGCTGGTATAAGACAAGACGGTCTCTGTTCAGCAGATCCCGTGCGGGAGAGCCATAGCCTATGGCCGCCCTCCCCTTCAGCACCATCTGTTCTCTTCTCCTCCTCTTCAAGCACGTTGGACCTGTCTGAAGCCTGACAAGGGGTCTCTAATACCCCTAAACACTTAATTAGCTGTGCCGCGTGCAGACGGGATCCTTCTGTAATTTACTTTATCCGGTCGATAGGCCTGCTGTTTTCTTCTTGCTTTGTTTGTTGCTTTTGTTGTAACTTTTGTCTGTTATAATAGTTTTTTTATTCTTCTCCCACAGAAGACGCTGTTCTGTTATACAAATTAAGAAACCCAAAACACCCCAAAGCTAGCTTTAAGACCATTAAGTGAAGACCTGTGAATGTTACTCTGTGTCCACATAATTTGTTTGCCTCTAATATGTATGTGTAAAAAAGGGTGGAGCCTTTTTTTGTGTTTTATGAAATGCAGCTTTTAATGTCATTTTTGTTAGAGTAGCCGGACATGTCATATTGAAAAAGGTGCGAGCCGTTTTACATTATCCAGACCCATTAATGATAAATGGTAGAAACAAAATTAAACGTCTTTCCATGTCCAGTTAATTTATGCACATTTCTAACAAATTGGAGCATTTCGATTAGCTCTCTAAAAATGTTAGGGAGAGGGGGAGGACACCAAGAATAGGGTATGTTGCTGTCTTTCCTTTATTTGTTTTTGCACACACAATACCGTAGTACCAGACCACACTTTTAGACAGGAACAGCTGTCTAGCGAATCCCACTGCGAAGGAACAATTTCACATTAAACCTCGTTCTACTGCAGAATACAGATGAAAAACAGCTTTTCCCGTCTCTTTCCCAAGTACCCCTTGTACTTTCTGCACCACAAAATTACAAAGTGCATATTTAAAGGCTGTGTTTATGCGCACTTTAAATAAATCGGACTTGAAGTTTTAGGGCGCTAAGCAGCTCCTTGCCCCAGTCCCTTCGCCTGTCCTTGGCTGTAAGGTGATCAGCGGAGTCTTATTGATTTGCGATTGGGTTTCATTACTTTGCCGGGGAGATTTTTGGAGTTTTCGCTCTTTTGGGGGTGGGAGTGGGTGATGGGAGAGATTCACTTTCTCTTATGAGTACAAAAAAAACCTGTATTGTCATGGCTTTGCAGCAGCACTCTTAGGTGTTTAAGCTGTCATTGTGACGCTGGAGGCTAGAGGGCGTGAACCTGCCGCTTGTCACTCTTGATGTCACAGACCTCCATAAACGGGCCCTTTTAATTCATTCAGCTGACTCTGGGCCGTGTTAATGCTGGAAAATGTGCTGTCTGACCTGCCCTCATTTCCACCGTTGTTAACTCGGCCTTTGCTGCCACCCGATCAAATCGTTGCACCGCGTCAAAAATGATGGTGTTTTCCGGCTTGCATGTGAGTCCAGTTAAGGAGGATTACTGCATGTAATGGTGTGTATCAGTGAAATTGCTTATTTTGCACTCAGCTGCTGCTCAATGCATTTTCAGCACTGCAGTCTTCAGTCTGTTCCTTCCTGGGGAAGCATAACCCGCTGCTTTGGAAGACTTGAGTTAAACATCATCCTGTTGCATGTGATGAGTCAGGTGTGGAGTATTTGAAAATGCTTTCTTCCTTGTTTCAGGCTCTTGTGATGCTGTTACTTTTTTTTACACTCTTATGGTAAATGGATTGCATTTATATAGTGCATTTTTCCACTCCTTCGAGCACTCATAACACTTTGCCTCAGATTCACCCATTCGCACACACATTCACACACCAGTGGCAGAGGCTGCCATGCAAGGTGCCAACCTGCTCACCGGGAGCAATTTGGGGTTCAGTGTCTTGCTCAAGGACACTTGGGTCAGTAGGAGCCGGGGCTCGAACCTGCAACCTTCTGGTTGCCGAACAGTAGCGCTACCTTCTGCGCCACCATCGCCCCTATCGTTGACGTGACTCATTCTTTTTGTTTGCACACCAGCTCTCGCTGTTCAGAAGGGGTAAATTCGCACAAACACACACCCCCCCACCCACCCCTAAAAACACACATCTGAATGATGGTATCAACAGCTGCCGGTTTATCTTTTCCTGTGTCTTGTTTGCATTTTCTAGTCATTTGAGGGAATGCAGATGGTCTGTCTGCCCTTTGCTTACAGTTTTTATGGATGACAACAGTAAAATCTATTATTTATTGAAATCAATGCCTTTGCCTGTGATGCCTTCCATTTTTAGCACCCTGTATTACATTTATTCCAGATCCCTTTATCATTAGTAGCACACATTTTTGAGAAAGTAGGGTCAGCCAGTCCCTGGAGCAACGAGTTAAGGGCCTTGCACAAGGGCCCAATGGTGAAATCTGTCTGCTAATCCTGGGATTTGAACTGGCGACCTTCTGATCACAGGCACTGCCTCCTAACCCACTAAGGCGCACACCCATAAAAATGGTTTTGTTTGTTGGTTTTTGTGATACAGAAATTACAGAGGGTCTGATGGAGGTTTTGTAGAGGACAGGATGCAAGCAGCATCTTTTACAGTGAATTATCACCTCTTTCTCTATCTTTGTGCCATGGCCTCGGATTCCGTCAGCACCCACTGTCATTACTCTGACAAGAAGAGTCAAACACACCCCGGTGCCTTTGGTAGGCAAGAGGCTTGTCTTTAACTGTCCTCTGCTATTGTAAGAGAATCTGCTGACAGCTACATAATTTTCCTTTACTGAGAACCTCTTTTATTAACGTGTTTGACACAGGCTTAACTTTTGCCCGCAATTGATCTTCCATCATTTATTTTGTCTTTCGTCAAATCCTAACATTGGAAACCGATGCAGTTTTTAGTGTTGCAACTGAACTGGGAAATCTGGGGTCAATTAAAGCCAGCAGTAATTTCATTTAGAATTTAGACCTCCGGACATTAATAAGAATAAACACTGAAAGACACATCTATTGGCTGTAGAGGCAAGTCAAAACACTATTGCTTTTTTAGAATTAGTTAGTTTTAAAGCTTAGATCGTCCACCTTATTTGTATTGAGGTTCTTGACTTCCAGTTTTGACCCCTGTATATTTTATTGGGGATATTTTTATCAGCATGCCCTGCCTGGGACCTTCAGATTCCAAGTCCAGAATCTTCTACAGTTTCTCTTGTCCTTGCTGCTGTTCTTCTAGTAATAAGGATTTAACTGTAGTATTAATATCATTGCACACGCCAGTGGCATGTGGTTTGTTTTCCGTCTCATGAAACAAAATATGTTTGCTGTACATCAAAGTCGGCAACATATGACTCATTCGTCTTCAACGTTTGCTTCTCCCCGTGGACACAAAAGCCTCGATGTGACGACTGATTGCCGGTTTCACATTCAAAGTGTGTTTGTTGCTTGGAATCCGCTGGAACCAGACAGCCACAGGGCATTATGGGAGAGTGTGTTTGTGCAGTGGCTTTTAGGATATTAACCATAAAAATGGCTTTGGCAAAAACGGCTTCACTGCCGGGCACTCTATGATAAATGTTATAATGAACACAGAGTAATTTTAAGAGCATGTAATGATAAAACATTATACAGATGGCGACAGACCTTTAGCATCGGGCCGGAAAATTGTGCATTTTCTTTTTAGACGCACTATTACTTGTAAGCTGTTGCAATTATTCCATCTCCATAAAACATTTAAAGAGCTGTCTTCCAAATTTTGATGGGTGATGTCACATTTTTAGGTATCGTAGTTAATATAATAAATGCCTGTGCAGCCAAGATTTACACATTTCTCGCTGAAGTTGCACAGTGACACTTGTGGAGCTGGTGCCCTTACTCTCAAGTGACAACCTGATGTCATTTTGCTGTGTTTTACCATCTTTGATTGGCTTTCCCATGGAATTAGATATTATTTGCATAAAGCTGATTATACCTGTTTGTGGTCTGTGTAAGGAGTTACATTTTCTGTCAAAGCTCAAGGTCATTAAAAATAAGCACATGGCCGTGTCCTGGTAAACTGCCCTGTCTGGTAACTGTGCTGAGAGACCCTTTCCTTTCTGGGCATCCAACTATCAGAACCCTAGAGAGAACAGATGGAGAAGAGGGGCGATATGTGACTCGGTGGGTTAGGACCCCGTGCCCATGATTGATTGGAAGGTTGCTGGTTCAAATCCCATGGTTAGGGAAGAGTGACTTTTGGGCTCCTGAGCAAAGCCCTTAACTGCTGCTTTCTGTATTGTGTGACGCTTTGGATAAAGGCACCGGCCAAATAAATGAAATACAGATTATGTAAATGATCTGATTCAGCCTAATTCAAACCTCATGTCTGGAATGTAGGGAGGACCACAGAAATCTATTTTTGCATCGTAAGCTTGCGGATACATTCTGGTGGGTAGCGGGGCATGGGTTCATCCAAAGTATATATGGATATTACAAGTTTCTTAATCCCATTTATGGCGATCCAAGTTTAAACATGTAACGTAGACTACGAAAGTGTGGAAAATGAGGTCTTAGTCATTTTGTTGGGAAATTTCTGAATGCAGGCTGTTGCATTTTCAAGATTGCTCAGGATATTTAAGTATTAACGTGAAACAGAGAACAGTTGAGTCCTCAAAAACAAGGCTTCCAGAATCACGTCTGTGGCTTATTTTTTACTAATTAAAGCAGCATGTGACTGATAACTGAAACAGTGGTGTTTACAGATGGATACTTCAAAGAATAGCCTTTGCAAACTGACATGGGACAGAAGCCCTCCAGAAATCCAGGCTTTGTGTTTTTTTTTTTTTTTTTAGAATAAACTGTGCCTTAATTGTGGGCTGGCCTATTCGCCCCTGGGGGTTGGCGTAAACAACCTGTCAGTGATACTGACTCTTGCACCCTCTCCTGCAGGATTAAGGGACCCTCTGCCATTCCCTGGGAATGGGACAGTGGCTTTCTGCTTTCCAGTCCTTCCTCTGGGCACATGACGGTCTGACACAGACAAGAGCGGCAGCCTAAATCAGAGTGCAAGAGAGGCTGGGTTGGTGAGCCCCGCCCCTACCTGCCAGCCCCGCCCCTACCTGCCAGCCCCGCCCCCACTCGCCAGCCATGCCTTTCAGAATCAGGCTCGGAAGGCACCGTCGCTACGTGCTGAGCAAGAACTGCTTCGTGACGCGGATCCGTCTCCTGGACAACAACGTCATCGAGTGCACGCTGTCTGTGGAGAGCACAGGACAGGAGTGTCTGGAGGCTGTGGCCCAAAGACTTGAGCTTCGAGAGGTAGGGGTGTGTGTGTGTGTGTGTGTGTGTCAGAGAGACATCTGTGTATACATCACCTGCACCCCCAGCGCCCAAATCCCAGTGTTTGGAGGTTAACAATCCCTAATGGTGGTGACATCTGTTGCTGTCCCATCCCAGTCATTCTACATGGACACAGCACCCTGATCCTATTTCTGAACATCGAGGTCTTTGCCGTCGTATCCAGGTCATCTCGGATTTTCCCCCAGCTGAAATCTTCAATTAATAACAACCAGCTCCAAATCAGTTTCTTCTTGTGGCATTCATGTTTATATATACCAGGGGTCTCCAACTCCGGTCCTGGAGAGCTACTATCCATTCGGTTTTCAATCCTACCTGGCTTCTGATGAGCCACACCTGTTCTCAGATAAATAACAGGAACAGCTGTGGCTCATCAGAAGCCAGGTAGGATTGAAAACCGACTGGATAGTAGCTCTTCAGGACCGGAGTTGGAGACCCCTGATATATACACTATATGGTGAAAGTTTGAAGACAGCAGCTTGTTCAACATCTCATTAAGAAACCAAGGGTTCCAATATGCAGTCTGTCGGCCGTTTGATGCTGCTACAGCCTCTGCTCTTTAGGAAACGCTTTCCATTAGATGTTGGGACACTGCTGGTGACATTTGCTCCATTCATGTTGGCTATTGGTGCTGGCTGATCAGGTCCCTTTCTATGACTTTGTGTCACCACTTCAAACTGAACTTGCCTCCAGACATTTTGATCTTTTACAGTAACTTCACTCGCAGTTGACCAGGGCAGCTGTAGGCCAGTGTTTGTCAAACCAGTCCTTGGGGACCCCCAGATGGTCCATGTTTTTGCTCCCCTCCCAGTTCACTGGCAGTTGGAAGGGAGCAAAAATGTGGACCATCTGTGGGTCCCCAAGGACTGGTTTGGCAAACACTGCTCTAGCCGGATGGATTTGTGGAAAGATTGGAACCTATGATGGTGCCAAATGGAAAGTCATTAGCCTCATCTGTATAGCCACCCATTCTGCTGATGCATGTTGCTAGAGATCTCATGGTTATGCTCTTAATTACACATCACTGTCTGAAATGGGTGTGGCTTAATATGCCAATTCCTCTACTTTTAGCCACATAAACTTTCAGCTTGATAAAAGAACAAATAATATACTTGATTCGGCGCAAGCATATTGCAGAAGTCACAGTACTCAATGGACACTGAAGATCTGAGCTCTCCATTGAATCACCGCGACCCCCATCCTGTGGTCGTCTTAGAGAAATGGCCACAGGGTTCAAGGTTGCAAACTCTCCCCATATCACCTTCTACAGAGGTCTTGCTTTTGAAGTCTTGCCCTTCGTTGCCCCCCCCCCCCCCCCCCCCCGTGTTCAGGCTGTGGTGCGGCATGTAGGCTCCAAACACGGTATCCACAGCATTCTACTCCTTAAAAAAATTCGCCTGCAGGTAAAACATGGTGACGTGTTGATTCTTGAGTAGACTTCCCTTGGAGAGCGAGGGAGTGTCTATGAACTATCGCCAGTTCTTCAATAATGTGTCGCAGCTTGTTTGGTTGTATAGGTTGCGTGGTGGTGTTGGCTGTCTCTGTGCAAACAAACCAGAGACCTGACCAAACCGTAGCTGCAGCTATCCTGAAGCAGCCTGTGTCATTTAGCCTGAATGTGAGGTATTCTCATTACTGCCGTGTTGAATTTATTAACTTTTATTTTACAGCTGTCATAAAAGAGCATGTTAAAAGGCCCTTTGGTTTACTGGAGACTGTTCTAAGGAGCTGAGATCAAAGCTAACTTTGCTGTGTGTAAAGGGGGGTGGGGGGTTTCCTTAATTAGGTCCTAAACGTTTCATGCTAGGGCCCTGGGGGGCCTTTCTGAGTGCTGTGTACAGAACCTGGGGGTGCTGGGCTCTCTAGAGTGAGGGGGGAGATGTGATTACTGATTGTCTTGTAATGCACCAGAATTGTCACGGATGAGTGTAACAGGTGTTCATGCCCCGAATGGATGTACCTGTGTTTGTCGGGAACCTCTGGTTCTACACACCCTCGAGTAGCCTGGCTCAACATCTCCGCCCTGCCTCATGGGCGTGCCTGTCCACAACCAGCAGGGGGCAGGATGGTGGCCTCACACACCCAGTGCTGAGTGCTCGATCCCTGCTCCCAGCTCTGTGTATGTGAAGTCTGCATATCCTTACCATTTTGCACACGGTGTTGTGTGGATCATAATGCGGGTTTCAGTGCCTGCAAACGGAAAGTCGCCTGTTTGAATGCCATCCTGAGCAAGGCCCTTAGCAGCCTGAAATCCTCCAGGGGTGCTAGGTAGCTGGCTGACCCTGTAACTATGCCGGTCACAAGGGAGTCTACGCTTCATACTGATGTTCAAATTCCCCTTTTATTTTATCCTCTTCATGCGAAGAACACCGTGAAAACTATGGACGCAAAATAAAGTTTTTCAGTATAATACACACACACATGTACATCTCTATACAGAAAATAAACATATCTGAAATATTTATGCAACAAACAAAATAATAATAATTACCATGTTGCCTCTTTGACCAGTCGTAGAATGTCGTGGCTTGTCATTCACTGTCTATTACTAAATGCCCCTTATGTGAGAACTTCCGGTTCAAAGCCACGTCGGTCATGTGACTTAATTAGCTCATTCTTATGCAAATACTTTAAAACTTCAAATAATGTAGGCAACACCACAAACTCCTTTAAACAATACATAAAATTTATGATATTATTTTAACTCTTTTAGGAAATTCACTTTAATGGCGTTGTCATGGCAATATTAACACACTTCTTAGTGTCAGCTACAGACACTGCTCTCTGACCCCAGGCTTCGGCCTGCTTCCCAAAGGAGACCAGAAGAGATGTGAAAGCCAAAGAATTCCACACTGGTTACGTGCTCTGGAGCTCAGAAATCCCCACTCTTGTAGCCTTCTGTATATTTTGCGAATGTTGGTTTTGTATCAACATGCAGTTCTGTCCCTCCAAAACTCCCGAGACAACAGAAAAAATACAAATTAGGTCACAAAATGAAAAGCACAAATGCTGATAAATGCAAATGCCGATACCCTGAAAAATGAAAAGTAATTGTGTTACATAAAATGAATGACTGCATGTGAACAGGAACCTCACATTCATTCCCAACGACCCGTGATTCAGCGGCTCTAGAGTCACAGAATTTGATGATCACAGAATTTGATGATCACAGAATTTTGTGTAACACCGGCATGATGGCTATGGTGCGATGTAATTCGTTTGGGTTAATGAATACGTAGGCTTGTTATCCTTGTGACTATTTTCACTTAAACTCTCCCAGTGGTGAATAAGAGGGAGTAGTCAAAGATCCACTCAAAACAAGAGGTTTGTTTTTATCGGCAATGCATGGGGAGTTTCGGGTGCTATGGACTCCCGTCCCTCCCCTCCGCCCCCTCCTCTAGCCGGAGGTGCCATGTGACCTGGTCGTTACTTCGGTGAAGGCTGTAGGACTGTGTTGTGAAATGTATCAGTGCCCTGATATGCGGGGTCGTCGGGGGTGCTGTGAGATAAACAGCCGGCCGGGGCAGCGCTGTGTAATAATCGCTGTTCCGTCTGGAGCCAGAAATTCCACACAGATCCGGGTTTATTGTCTGGTCACTGGGTCGTTCGCATTACGCGCTTGAGCAATATATGTATTCACTCACCACCCCCTGTAATTTTTCTACCTCCTTAGACAACATGTTGCTTATCTTATTGTGTTTGCCCAAATGTAATATTGTGTTCATTTTCTTCCCCCCCCCAATAATTTTATTTTTATGACTTAAATTAGGCGCGGTCTTCTTCTTCAAAAAATTGCAAACAGCCGGCCAGCTCAGTGCTGTTGTGGCATCTGGGGGTGGGACGCAGGCCTGAATCATCCCGTTTCTATTTAAGAAGTAGTGCCAGTTCTGGCTAATGGACCCTGTCTGGCTTGTGTGATTTACCCAGCCCTTCTGTAAGCGAGTCCTTTAAACAAGAAAGGCAGCTGCTTCTGTTCCTGGTGTTAACACATTTTTTTTGGGGTGTGGGGGGGCGGGGGGTGTTTATTTTTGTAAAAGTGCCGCATGTAATCGCTGTTGTCAAAGTGTGCCTCAGACTAGTGAGTGTTTTGCAGTCTGTGGTGGAAAACCATCTCAGTTTTGTAGTTTGTCAGCAGTGGTACCTGGAAGCCCAGGCTGTTGAGATCCATACTCCTCATGTCTCTCATGCCTGTGGTGAAATGACTCAGCCCATTGCTAGATTTGGAGCAACAGTCTTGCGTCATGGTCGTGGATTTTTCAGAGCTGATTGTACCCAGGCGCTGCCAGGAGCTGTGCCCAAAAGCAGGTAGAAAACAAAGTTATATTTACTTAGACATACCTGAGGCATTTCACCTGTGCCCTGCTTTAGCGGTGGCTAGGTGGAGCTGTCAAGTGTTAGCAAATGCTAGCAGATGCTAGCAGGGTTTAGTAGGGGCTGGTGGGCGTTAGTGTAGGCAAGTGAGACTAGAAGACATGAGCATTTCGGCTGAGAAGTCACAGGTCATGTGGAGGCGGCCAGGGTTTTTCCCACTTGGGTGAGAAATTTGGCTGAACTGGAAGGCCTCGGTGTTTATGGCGACAAGCTGTGATGTGACAGGCAGACAGAGTGCATGGCCTTCATCACCACTCTTCAAAGGAAAATGTACACGTAGATTTCCTCAGAAACCGCAGAGAATGAATGATTAGTCTGTATCCAAATTTCAGAATGGAGTGGAAAAATTGTTAATGGAATTGTTTTTGAAACCGTTACCATAAAGTGACCGTAGTCCTCATTTTAACTGTCTTTAATCCCTCTTGGTTTCTGTCCCCTTTACCACAAAAAAACAGGCGAGGGAATCTGGAGCTTGATTGCTGGCTGTTTATTCATTCATTGTAATGCTATTTTAAGCTGTTGGGTGGTGTTCTGGATAAAATGTGTATTGCTTAACCCCACGAATGTGTCCGGTATTTACACGGCCTTTTGGAGAGATGTGTTTTAATTTTAAGTGAGTCGTGTTAGCTGAAGCCGTAATTTGGTCATGTTTTATTACCATGTAGCAGGTCATCCCTGACTACAGTACCGTGTGATCCATCGTTAAAAATCTCTTGAGTAGATGAGGAATTTGTTTATTTCTCCTTATAAATGCCAACTGGTCCACCCAGGCCGTTCACGTCAGTCGCCTTCTTGCTCGGGCTTAACTACTGCAGTGATATTTGCTACTCCGATGACACTTGGCAACGGCCCCTAAATATGCTGCCAAAAAGTCAGATGACTGCGGGGTGGTGGGGGGGGGGGGGGGGCTGACCCTGGCATTCGGAATACTCCGGCCCGTGCTCCCTCCTCTGATACCGAACACGCACCCCCCAGCCCCGACCCATGTTACTGCAGCCCGAAGAAGAGTCTTATCTCTAGTTTGTACGAAGATAAGATACAAATTGTGGTGAACGCGGAAAAGGAGTACATCATCGATCGGGAAACGTGGCCCATGTGCATTTCAGCTTAAAGTTCAAGGAGAAGAATCCTTCACCATGAATAACATCTGCTCTATTTTGTTAGCACATTTTATGACTTTATTTTCTGTGTTTCACTGGTGTTTTCCATAGTTGTCTACAAGCTTCCTTTTTAGGTGATTAAGCAGTGGAGATGGAACTGGGGGGCCAGGCCTTTGTCTGATGTGTGTATGTGTGTCTTTGGGTTCTCTCCAGACTCACTACTTCGGCCTGTGGTTCCACGGCAAGTCCCAGCTCCAGCGATGGGTGGAACTGGAGAAGCCCCTGAAGAAGCAGCTGGACAAGTACGGCAACGAGCCGCTGCTCTTCTTCGGCGTGATGTTCTACGTGCCAAACGTCTCCCGCCTGGAGCAGGAGGTGACAAGGTACACGGGGCCACCGGTGGGCAGGGAGCTTCGGCTGGTCTTCCTTGCCTGGGATGTGTTTGGACGGCTTCATCTTCTCAGTCTCATTAAGGCAGTGTTTCCCAACCCAGTCCTCGGGGAAGCCTGGACAGTCCACGTTTTTTCTTCCTCTCAGCTCCCAGTGCACTTGTACCAGGTATTCGGTGTTCCTGATTGGCTGGGAGGGAGCAAAAACGTGGACTGTCCGGGGTTCCCTGAGGACTGGGTTGGGAAACACTCTATTAAGGGGTCAACAGAAGCTTCAAACAAACCATGGCAGTACTTTCTTCTTCACTGCTGCAAGAAAGTGTTAAGGGGTGATAATTACCGCCCCCCCACACACACCCACAAAAAAAAAATGGTATCTGTGCCCAACTGCCCATCACGCTCCAGAGATATTTAATGTCAGAAACCACAAGTAGTAAATCTTTTGTGTTATATCATCCATGTTAAGCAGTATGTTTAATTAGTTTAATCTGCTTCAGGACCATACAAGTTTCTTTCGTCTTTTCCTTAAATACACAGTCATTGAAAACCTACATCATGATGTCACTGAGTGTAACCGGCAAACCACTTAAGGAACAAAAACCATGATCTGATGGTCAGTGATGCCTAAGAGGCACAGGAAGTCTTACTCAGGAAGTATGTCTTATTGCTATACTGGTTTATTTAGGGTCAGTGTTCCTGCTTTGATCACCGAATCATTAAAGCGACTCATGATCAAGAACCGTACTAAACTTAAACACTCAAATGTCTCAAATTACCCATAGTTTGGGTAACATGTGGCTCATAGTAGTCCTGAAGTTTTTTGAAGGTCTGTTTCAGCAAATCAGGTACCACTCCTTAAAAATGTTCCCCTGCATATTTCTGAGGGCTGAATTCTCTATATGCGGTGTGCTGAGGTCAAATCTCCTTGTGTTGCACAGCCTGGCCCGGGGGCAAATGTTTCTCACCGACTGACGTGAAATTGCACTTGGTAGTAAAATCTATCCTCTCCGCCTCTCAACAAGATGCAACAGGCCGACCGTAGAGGAGGCAGTGAGGAGGCTTGGGGGGTGTGTTCGTATCCATCGCCAGCATAACAGGGATGGGCAGAGATTTCTGGGGACTCTGTGGAAGATATCGGACTATTGTATGGGATCCCAGTGCAGCCCGGTTTTTAGCGTGAATATTGGTGTGGTTCCAGACTGTAGAAGGGCGGCTCATTTGTGCACCGCGGAGAACTTCAGGCCTGGGGTGGCCCTCTAGAGCCAACTGCTTGTCCATTGAAGGTTCTCTCATGCTGTTGGACTGCTGCATCTTAACTGTTAAGGCTTGGAGAGAATGGGTGTGAGAGGGAGTGTGTGGGTATTGTAGTATCATGGATCAGGTATTATCTACAATGCCAGTGCTCAAATTGTAGAGCCATTTGTTCTGATATTGGGCCTGTTCAATACCTGTTAACATCACAAATGAGTTAGAGTACTCTGGCGTCCTTCCTGTGAGGCACTTCCTGGGGAGAGTTAATGCACATGAAATCTCAGCACTGGAAGCCTGCTGGTTAGTTTTTGACAGGTAGCCTGTCTGGAGTTTGGCCGTTGATACTTGGCACTGAAAGGGGTACCTCAGTGGGGAGAAATATCTGCTGATGGCAAAATGGAGGGATGAAAGGGAGGTTAAATCGTGAATTTCTCCTGTTCCCCAATGGCCTCAAGGCTCTTAGCCCTCGCGAACCCTGGACATCCCTTGATGCAGCTGATTGCTCTGACGCACCTATGTGTGCTGTTTGATATTTGGAAAGAGAAAAACAAAGCACGCTTCCCTTTCTCCATCCATCCATCCATTCATCCATCCCGCAAGATCTTGCAGTCCTCCCACCACAGTTCTGCTGCAGTTTCACACTGGATTCTACACTATTTTAACAGCCCCTCATACAGGGGGGAGAAAAAGCTCACTGACTCACTGAAATGCAGTGATTAGTAGCCTTTTATCACGTGAACCAGTAGACAAGTTCCTGCAGGAGAGGTTGGCGAACAAATGCCACAAAGTTTAACGCTGCAAAATGCTTGGCTCTGTTACGCTGGCCCCAGTTACGCTGTCCCAGTGAATGCCAATTAAGCCATTTACAGTATACAGTTTTTAATCTTCAGTTTTCTAAAAAAAAAAAATAAAAAAAAATAAAAAAAAAAATGCTAATACTTTCAGTGCCTTTATTGAGTTAGAAACTAGTTTCTTACCTGCCTACGGAAATCCAGCAGGAAGGTTGTGAAATTCTTCAGGAAATACCATTGCTGATTTATCATCCCAAACTGGAGCTTTGCCCATTCCTGTAGAGAGCAGGACTTTTGCAAGGTGTTATGTAATAAATCTTCAAATAGATTTCCATGCTTTGACTCAGTCAATTGATTAATATGAAGATGAAACGAGGTCAAAGGTTCTCAAGTTGTTGCTGTCGTTGTCATTTCCCAATTTGTCCTACCTTGCTGTACAGTGGTGGAGCAATTTATTCAATTTAATCCATAAAGATTAAATTTAATGTCATGGTGAAAGATGTTGCACTGAATATATCCATACCTGCAAGTCATTTTCCTTGTTCTTGTTTTTGTGATGTATTTTGGATTCACTCTGTTTATTTTCATCTTGAAAGAAATTCTAGTACAAAAATTTATGAAATGTGCCATTCTGACTCGTCTTTTGTTCTGGCTGCAGTGCAGAGGAGGAAGAGAGCCAGGCCTTTGTTTTCTGCGTGGGATGAAATGATAAGCCATGCTGTGGCACGCAAATCCCAGCCATGTTAGCCACTTGCTTATTGTTAGCTTGCTCTAGCTTCAGTTTCTTTTCTTTCTAGCAAACGTCGAAAGAAGTCTTAGAAAGTGTTACACCTCTGAAACATTGGTGTCCTTCAGGGTCTCTCAAAGAAGAAAAAAAAACATGCAGGAATCGCAGTCATTTGCAGAGTTGTTCTGGGTTTGTGGCAGATGTTAGTGCTTAAATGCGATGCATGGCCACTGTACCACCCAGTCAGCTGCAGGAAGTTTGTTCTTTGCTTGTTTTACGCACTACTTTTAAGTATAGAAGAGCCCTGTTAAGAGATTTGCACATTCATTCATCTAATGACTACGGCTACGGAGGTACAGATGAAGTTGACTTGAATGATTTCACAGGCGAGCAGGACAGAAACGCCGAACTTAAATTAGGGATTGGGGTTTAGAAACGTTACGGAAGACATTCTTGTCTTTTCTTAATCTGGTATAGTGGCATAAACAAATTTTGTTTGTCTGAATTTATCCCTGAGTAATCAAACCATGCATAAGAATGGGGGATGACTTGGTAGAAGCTGATTGGACGTTGCTGCATGCATGTGACCCCTCCTCTTCACTCCAGCTGACTCTTACCGCGTTCTGTATTTTTTTTTTTTATAACCAGCAGTGGTATTCACTCTGGTTCAGTAATTAAAGGGTTACCAACGCAATGCGATTGCTCCTCAAAACAGCTTCTTCAGAAGGTAATAACAGCTTTCTAAAAGTGGGCAGGGTAAGATTATAGCCTCCTGAGTCGTCCGGGCTGCAGAGTAAGAGTGCAGCCTCCAGGACTGTCGGTGTAAGGGTATCGCCTTCTTCAGAGGAGACCCGTATTTTACCATTCATCTTAGATTTTGTGTGCTGCATCCGGTTGTTCCTGGACGCTCTTGTCAGCCGAAATTTACAGCAAACACACCACCTCTGCAGTAGACCAACGTGAACCCTTTTGTCACCATGTTTGTTAAATGTGTGTCGCTGCCCCGACCAGTGCAGCCTACCTGGTCCATTCCTTTCGGGTCCAGTTCATGTACGGTGTACATGTGCGCATGCGTGTGTCAGTAGTATCATTGATGTCATGTTTGTGTTCCATGCTCAGGCACAGCCGTCACGCTGGATGTGTACCAACCCTGAGGGCACCTAGCTATGTCCAGGCGCACCTCTTCATGCAGGCCAGGGCGCTACCCAGACGAACTGGACTTTGGGGGGTTAAACGTGCTCAGGAACACTACGCATCGCCCAGTGTGTCGTCCGCACGGCAGCTCGTGTTCATACCGCATTTGACCGTGGTCAGTGCATGCGTACAGCAGTGATATTCCACCAGACCAGGAGAGGGCAGATGAATTGCAACAAACACAAATACAAGCAGTGTAGTGAAATGGGTAGACTTTTATGAACAATATTAGAGTTACTAGTCATGGCTTGGGTAGTAGTATGGGAATAAGGCAAACCACAGTATTTTAGCTGCTCACCATAAGTACAACAGCAGCAACAACATCTATTTTCTCTACTCTTTCGTTGTTGACTGCTAATCTGTGAGATTCAGTGCTGCCACCTACTGGAAATACCTAATCAATTATCTTGCACATGCGTGGTCAATGCACATGGATGCGCAAGGTTTCCGCTAGAGATAAAAATCTGGGCTACAGGTGCATCGACCACAGTCATCCACAGCTACTCCTTGATCACGAAATTTATGTTGCATCCCCTCTTCTGCAACCAAAAGTATGTGAGGATAAGTGAAGTATGGATTGACCTTAAGAGTATAGCCTCCTTCAGAGGAGTTGCGACCCTCGGGGTGAGGGTGTAGCCTCCTCAGAGGAGTTGCGACCGTCGGGGTGAGGGTGTAGCNCAGAGGAGTTGCGACCGTCGGGGTGAGGGTGTAGCTTCCTCAGAGGAGTTGCGACCCTCGGGGTGAGGGTGTAGCCTCCTCAGAGGAGTTGCGACTGTCGGGGTGAGGGTGTAGCTTCCTCAGAGGAGTTGCGACCGTCGGGGTGAGGGTGTAGCTTCCTCAGAGGAGTTGCGACCGTCGGGGTGAGGGTGTAGCCTCCTCAGAGGAATTGCGACCGTCGGGGTGAGGGTGTAGCTTCCTCAGAGGAGTTGCGACCGTTGGGGTGAGGGTGTAGCCTCCTCAGAGGAGTCGGAGGATTTAAGAAGTACAAAAAGACACCAACAGAAAGAGGAAAGATTTTCACATTATAAGAATTTTAAAAAGTGTCCATTGTGTTCACCTGAAGTAAAACAAGAATTTTCCTAAACAATAATGTTTATCGTTGCAGATATATTTGTACCACCTGAGAGGAATGGGCAGTTTCATCTTGTAAAACAAACAGTTTTTGTTGAAAATATTTCCCAGGGCCTAACATTAACATTAGGGCTACACTGCATGCGTAATCTGCAGGGGCTGGGTTCAGCCGCTCTCTTCTCTGTTTATTTGTTCAGTGTTGCGACAGCTGCACTCCAGCTGAGGTATGAATCCACATCCTCTTTGATCGAAAGCTTCGCCCGTCAACATCCATTATGCTGCCCCCCCCCATCCCGTTCCACAGATAACGCTTTTCCATTGCGGTGTCATAAGGATATGGACTCTGAGTAATATATCATTAATCCATGTGTGTTTTAGATTGCATGCTTCAGACAGGACAGAATTATTGTTTAAATTCAAGGGCCGTGCGTTGTCTTTCTTATGCCTTATGCTTAAACGCCTTCATATTTTCATTCTAATTCTTACCATTTCTTGCACTACGGCCAACAAGTTTTAAACTCCATCTCATTATGTGACTCGTGCATCATGTACCTGAAGATGATGATAAAGACTTTTATAAGGTCACCATTATGGAGGCAGCGTTTTTTCACAGATTGTCATTCCTGTGCTGAGGAGTTCTGGCTCACAGACCTGGCAGAATCTCCAGAATGTGCAAATCCTCCAGGAAAGGCTGTTTCATGTCCAGAGTTTGTATATTCTGGCCCCCAGGCTTCTGACAGCCCCTAAAACATTTTTCTTCTCTCTTTTCCCATCATGATGACTTTCCTGGAAGAAAACATAAAGTGCAGGTATCTCAGGATCACAGGAACATTAGCCAGGGTAGCTGTAAATACTACCTATTTTGGTTGAAACACTTTTGGGTCTGTCTTAGAATTAACCTGCGTTTATAATTGTGTTTATCCAAAGCACGCTCTGATCACAAATTTCACCCAGCAGGGCCGAAAAACTAACAATGATAGACAGGGCAACACTGTTTTTAAAATATTTTTTTGAAAATCATGATGGCACCAAGCACCTCTTCGGTAGTGTTGTGTGTGTGTTGTGTGTGTGTTGTGTGTGTGTTGTGTGTGTGTGTGTGTGTGTGTGTGTGTGTGTGTTAAATTAATATGTCTCACACACACACACACACACACAAAAAAATAGTTGGTCTTCCTATCTAAATGGGGACCGTCCATTCACTTCTATGGGAAAAACCCTAATCCCAATCACGAAACCCTTAACCCCTACCCATCCCTAACTTTAACCACAAGTAACCAACCCAAATACAAGACTTTTGGCATTTTCACTTTTTTGATTGCATTCACAGATTTTTATAAAACTGAGGTTATACAAATGGGGACCTCAGAAGATGTCCCCAAAAGTAGGGAAATTTCAGGTTTTACTACACTTTGGGGACAATTTGGTCTTCAAATGTGATCTATGCAAACCCACTCACACACACACACACAGTATATAAAGTGATAGTACCAAGGTAATCCCTCTTGCTGAACTCGTCTACAAAGCACCAGAAGGCGTTAATATCTATTGTGCCCTAAAGCTTGCCATCAGTCCCAGCAGTCAGATTCATACGCCTTGTCTCCCCCCCACTCCCCACCTCCCTTTCCTCCATACAGGTATCAGTATTACCTCCAGGTGAAGAAGGAGGTGCTGGATGGCCGGCTGCAGTGCACTGTGGAGCAGGGTGTCCGGCTGGCTGGCCTGGCGGTGCAGGGTGAGGGACCTCTGCTTCTATCGCTGCTGCTCATGGCTGCTCTCTGTGTCAGAAACACAAAGTGACATTTAGAAATGCGACCTCAGTAAAACATTACAACCTTACTTTCCAATATAATAAACATTTTAAAATCTGATCTATAACCTAAGTTCCATTTTCAGATGTTTGAATTGAGGGATTTGGGAACGTTGTGTCCTGAACTCCAGGGGTAGCCTAATCTAGTGGTAACACAAACAATGCTGGCCCAAGTCTTGAGCAATATATGTTTCCTTAAGATCTTTAGGAAAATATGCAGCTGTTCAATTATTTGGGTTAAAGTTGGGTCAAATCGTCAGGTAAATGTTAATTTGATCTCTTGTATCGCGTATGTTAGTTGTTTTTTCGTTTGTTATGTTAAAAAATTGACAAACTGAAACATTAGCTCATTGTTTAATATTGTCTGCATACAGACCGTAATTAATTTAATTTTTGTAAAGTAGGAATAGTTTGTAATATGCAATAATATTTTATTATATCCAGGGGTTGACATAACTGGTACGCAAGTACGAATTCACCTTTTAAAAGCGATACGTGCGGCAATTGATTAATGTAACAGCGCAAACACGTACGTGTTTTATGTGCATTTGCGCCGATATGACAAGAAATGAACGTATATTTTAACCTACCGCAAATGAAGTACGAATTAGCATATACAGGTTAAAATGCATAATTTTTGTCATATCGACGCAAATGCACATAAAATACGTACACATTCACGATGTTAAAATAATCGATTGCCGCACGTATGGCTTTTAAGGTGAATGCGTACTTGTGTGCCACAAGTTAATCCCTGATTATATCTGCGAGTATTAACTGTCTTAATGTTGAAGGTCTCTCCATTTAGGGAACAATGTGAATTCCAATTCTCCATATCTTTGGCATGTGCGGCTGTTTGATGTCAGTGGGTACTCGCGTGTCATTCGCTGCTGTATTGTCGTGGAAACATGCCGAGTCACATGGTCTCTGTTTTCCCTTATGCAGCTGACTTCGGAGACTATACCCAGTTCCAGAGCCAGGACTTCCTCAGGGAATATGTGCTGTTCCCAGTGGTGAGCTACGTCATTTGCCAAAAGCTTTCACACCTGGTTCTCCGATGACGAGCACTTTTCCACCACACCAAGTCCGGTACTTTTGGTACTTTCGCTGTTCCATTGACTCCCAGTTGAATACCAGTACCGAAAGTTCCAGTACCAAAAGTGCCAAACCAGCTGGGGTACTTCTTTGGTACTTCAGTACTTTGGGGTGGGACTCGAAACAGTTTCTTTGTAGATTAGTTATGCAAATAGCCTGCCACTGCAACACAATACAAACACCACCTTGAAAAAATGTGATTTGGTCGTAAGAACATATACAACAATAACATCCGGATGGCATGACAAGAAATTAAAAAGTATATATTTTTTAATATAGCACGCTGTCCTATCAGTGTGATTTAGTTGTAATAAGTATTGGCGTATTTATAAAACAAAAAAGGAGTTTAAATTTCTCACAAACCCGTCTTCGAGCGATTTAAACCACAAGGATGAAAATGATTACGATTGGGAACGTATGCAGCGTGCATGCAGAAGTGGAAGTGAATTTAAACTGTTTTTTAAACATATAAGAATCTATAAAAGGAATAATAATTAAAATGGCAAAGTTTGCTAAGTTTTTTTTTTCCCGTAAGAGAGATTAAAAATATTTAAGTGAAACTAAATACTATAATGTCCATACAGGATTGAAAGTAAGAAAAAGGCTTATTTTAAATATAGCTGACTAGCGATGTAAGTATGCCGCTCTTAGTCACAACGCGAAGTTCCAAGTGTCTTGAACACAGATGTTTATTCACAGCACTTAAGCACCGCCTTAAACACCGTAGAACTAAAGATATGACAAATACAAAGAAAATACATCAATTACATATTCGCTAAAAATAAGATACAAACAACGATAAATCTCAAAGTACAACATACCACTTTTGCCTGCTTGTGAGCTAAGAGGGAAGGTTGATACTGAAAATCCTTGCTAAATGCTTCCTTTAACCCCTTGTGCAGTCCAAAAACTCCAGAGCCGCTTATGTCAACTTATTATTCTCCCGCCGGCATACAGGAAATGACGTATAATGACCGCAGTTAAAATATAGACAAAAATACTTAAAGGAAACAACCCTTAATCAAATAAAATTCCTTTTCCATTCTGAAATGTAAACAATATTAAATATAAATATAACACAGAGGAAATTAATCAATCAGATAAATCTATTGAAAAAATTGAACCAAATTACAATTTAAAACAGTTTTACAACTGTCAGCACAGTAAGAATTGTATGTGCATAACAAGTGATGTTTGTATTAATATTGAACATTGCCAAGCTGTATAATATACTACAGCAATTCTTTTGAGTTCAGTCCCGAAGTGTCCAAAGTTTCACCATTCTGCAAGTCTTCTATTTTCATTCACCTCAGGGAACAACAAACTGTTCTGTCTTTTGATGACCAGCAAAGGAATGTAGAAAGTTGAGGCGGGGAGGGTTGTGATAAAAGTGGTCGGCAGGTGTCGGTGGGCGTGCTGAGGAGCACCTCGAACTTGGTGACAGTTTAACCCAAGCTGTCTCAGGCATGCAAGGCCTCTGGGCGGGTGAAAAATTCCTACAGAGCTGACGCATAGCTTCATGACACTATCAGAGAGGGTCAGTTTAATAGAACTGTCTATCCATCTTCCTCCTTTAGCCTGTATGATTAGCTAGGCTATGGTAGTCTGACTCAGTAGGTTAAATGTTCAGGCTGATGGAAGTTTCTTTTTCATTGACCAGCGGGGTTTTCCAGGGGTTATAAGGACTTTAGGCAAAAGCTTTGTTTTATTTTTTTGAGTTACTGATGGCCAGCATCCTGTGGTCCCCAAGCGAGTCCTCAGCTTTGCACGTTTATCATTTCCGTGCAGTAAGCAAGGGTTGGACCCTTCAGAAACCTTTCTGTGTGAAGTTTTCCAAGTGCATCTCTAACTTACTGGGAGTTGGTGAAAGTACATGAGAGGGAACGGGTCATGTTCTAGAATTTCTTGGAATCGTTTATGCGTTTTCAGTCGCTATCATTGCTGCGTCATTGTGAGGCTGGTCTGGTAATTGTAGTTTGTAGTATTTATCTATGTCTTCATGCAATATAATGAATGTGCATATTTTGCATGGTGCTGTGCAGACCTGCTAGCTTCAGAAATCACATAATGACTGTATTGTTTATGCTCCACACGCTCCTTCAAAGACCATTTACATTCCAGTGCGGTTTGCAGTGAGCTTGGGGTAGCCAAGGCGATCCGTCTGCTCATTGTGTTTTATTTCCATGATCTGCAGAATTGGCCTCACGTGGAGGAGGTGCTGGAAGAGTGGACCCAGAAAGTCGCAGAGGAACACAAGAGTCATTGGTAGGTCCTAACCGATTCATCTCCTGGTTTCCCACCTAGCAAGAACTTGGGGTGTTTCCGAGAAACACTGGGCCCATGGGGTTGACGTCATAAATAATGTAGTCTCTGACTTTTATTTAAGACTTTGTTGTCCGTCTAACCACGTTATAGTGCTATAGTCGTCCAAATCTGGGATCACTGGGTTTTCTGGGGTCACTGGTTCCCCGACCCAATTGGATGTCGGGCAGGATGAGGTCATTCTGACTGTTAATGGCTTCCTGTCGTGTCTGTGTGTCCCTCCCCAGTCGAATGCAGCCTGCTGAAGCGGAGCTGCTGTACATTAAAGAAGTGGAGAAGCTGGATGGGTTTGGTCAGGAAAGTTTCGCTGCCAAGGTATACATCTGCCCGCTGTTCGTTGCCAGGATACAACGCCTTGTGTGCGACCGGGCCCCCACCTGCCAACCCCCCATTACTCACTTCCTTCCGCTTGCCCTTTCTTTCCACAGGACAACTACACCAATGACATTTACATCGGCGTTTCCTTCATTGGGGTCTTCGTCAAGCACAGGAATGGAAGATCGATTATGCAGCACAGGTGGGGGGCCGGGCCTCTGAATGCTGCATGCCCCATGTCAAGATGGGGGTGGGAATAGTGGTGGTGGGGGGGTGAGTGATGTCCCTTCATGAAATGGTGATTAACCAAGATAGCGCCCTCTCTGAACGGCAGATGGAAGGACATCGGCAACATTGCGCACAACAAGTCCGCCATCACCGTGGAGATAACCAGCAGAGATGACACCATCATGTTCCACACAGTGAGTATTGTGTCTTCAGAAACCAAAGCTACCTCTGAAGCCAAGGTTACCTCGCTGGATAATGCAGGGAATGACAGATGAAAGCATGTGCTGTTGATCTTCCACTGGTCATACTATGGAAAGAGGATCTGGGAAAAGCAAATTGTACACAGTCTTTTTTCCCCCCTGAGTCTTTTTACACACATTTTTGTCATTACAACATTTCTGAATGTTATATTTCATGGAACTGAACTACAGGAATCAGGATCATAAGGTTTATCCTCGTTCTTAAACAACTAGATTAACTGCTGTTTTTTTTTTGTCCCTCCGTCCTTCAGGAAGACATGGAAATGGCCAAGTATATTTCAAGGCTCTTCACTGCCAGACATAAATTCTACAAGCAGAACAAAATCTGCACAGAGTGAGTTAGTTTTTAAGGCGTTTCTCTCCACTTCCCAGCACGGGCTGCCTGTCATTAAGCTCCTGGTGCTGTGTGTCTTTGCAGGCCTGCTCGTTCCCCAGTGCCCATTCGGCGGCGCCCGACATGGGCCGGCTCCTCTCTGGTAGGTCCTGTCACTCACCCTCCCCAAAATATGCTTCTCCTACCTCCCACTGACCCCTCCTACCAGATAGTCCATGCTGGGTCCTTCATACTCACACCGACATCGTGAAAAAGGCCGGGGCTCCAGTTTCTTTTGAAGCGGATACGGGGCCATATTTCAGATTGTAGGACTGTATGGGACTTCGAACAAAAATGCCATTTATATCTATGAAAAGAACAAAACCCATTGAATTGCGGGTGGTAGGGGCTGGTCGAGGTTAACTATTCATAGGTCTGTGAGCATGAATCATACACTCTGTGCTCCGAGGCCTCCTCCCAGCCAGACCTTGTGTTGGGGAACTCGATTTCCGGGATTACAATGGAGGCACAGATTTTTCTTTTCCTTTTTTCCATCCACTTTCTGAACAATGATACTAAATGAAGTTATTTATACAGTAAGTAGCTGTACCAAGTACTGGGGGCCTTTGTTTTTCCATAATCTAGCTTGTTGTGTGTGTGTGTGTGTGTGTGTGTGTGTGTGTGTGTGTGTGTGTGTGTGTGTGTGTGTGTGTGTGTCATTTAACCATGTGTAGCATGCTTCTCTTGTTTGGGCCCCTCCGGTGCTCACCTGCTTTGTGAAGCAGCAGCCATCCATCCACAAAAGTCCACCTCCTGTGAAATGTCAGGTTTCTGGAACTCCTTAGCGAATGTAGTGTTGGATGTCAAGCTCTGTATCTCGCATGGCATTGGTGGTCACCGGTCACCCTTTCGGTACTTCTGCTCCCCACCAGCCAAGACCTCGCTCCTGTATCCTCCAGACCATGCATTCCAAGTATGGCGAGCCATTCCAGGACACCCAGAGCTCCCAAGGTATGTCTGGCCTCACCTTATGCCTGCCTTCCTTGTACTGCGTGTGAAGGAATCCATACAACTGTAACAGATCTGGGTGGCATGGTAATCAATACTTTACACTGATTTAGGTGATACTTCTATGCAAAGCGACATAGATCTTTTAAGAACGCAGGGTCAGACAGTCCCTGATGCACTCACACCAGGTGTGGGGGTGCAATTCCCACCTCTGCCACGCATGTAGAGTGATCTTCCTGTTTTCCTCTGTGAACTGCAGTGTCCTCCTGCAGTCCGAAGTCATGGACTTAGATTTGTGTTTCCCAACCCTCCCAGCTCCCTGTCAGACAGTCCACGTTTTTGCACAATCATGGACTGTCTGGGGGTTCCTGAGAATCGGGTTGGGAAACACTGACTTAGCAATTAGTCTATCTCTAAATTACCTATGAAGTGATCATTGCATCTCATCCAGGGTATCCTCAGCATGGGCTATAAGCTCACTGTGACCCGGCTCTGGATAAATGATTATAAAATATGCTTGGATATATCAGACATGCTGCAATAAATGTGTACTGGCAGTCTTAACATAATTAGGATCATGGTATCAGGTGTTTTGCATTGCATGTCTTTAAAAGGGGTAACATTCTCCAAGGCTTTTATTCATTTTGCTTTTCATTTCCCATTTCCTTGCTATCATTTATGATTTTTTCGCTCGTGTGATTTTTTTTCTTTTTGTGAGCTACAAAAAACAATGTGTTAGTATTACATAGCAATGGGCAAATGAAGCTTCATGAGCCATTTGCTGTATTTTCTGACCCCACTAGATGGTGCTCTCTGTTCAAAAAAGGGCTCAAAGCATGTCACAAAGTAAACCAAGAGCGCCATCTAGTGTGTTCAGAAAATACAGCAAATGGTTCATGAAGCTTCATTTTGGTCATCGCTAGTATTACATCAGAATCAACATTTGCGTTAATGGCCAGGTACACATCCATGTACTTGGAATTTGTTTTGGCAGTGTTGCTACATACATTCCCTGACAACATATAACATAAATTTTAAAAATATACATATAAATAGGTATAAAATAAAACAGATTTGAGTATGAAAAAGTTTAAAGTACTGATTAGAACCAGGTCTCCAAATGCAAATGAGTGCAGAAATAACAGCAGCAATATGTAGTTGTTAGTCTTGAACAGAGAACAGCGACTCATATGGATCTCGTATGACTCTTCCCACCCTCTTCTGTCTCCACAGACAGTATTTTCCACGACGACTTGTATTACAAGTCAGAGACGAGCCTGGACCGCTGTACGGCTGACTTCTTCCGCAACGGCTCGGTGCCCAACGGCAGCGTGTATAGCACTTCCAGCATGAACTCACTGAACCACTCGCAGAACTTCATCCAGGCCTCCCCCATGTCCTCCAACCTGAGCATCCCGGGGAGCGACGTCATGCGGCCCGACTACATCCCTAGCCACCGGCACAGCGCCATCATCGCCCCCTCCTACCGGCCCACCCCTGAGTACGAGGCCGTCATGAGGAAGAGACATATGGTTCCCCCCGACTGCCACAGCCAATCCTTGCGCAACCTCAACATCAGCAACACCTTCGCCTACCGCCAGCCGGAGGCCCTGGTATACAGCCAACCCGAGATGAGGGAGCGGGCCCAGTATCATGGCCCCTACAACCCCCATGTGAGCTACAGCCGGCCGACCGCACCCTCTGCCCACATCAGCCCTGGTTGCGGCCCAGCTACCTGCCATCCTCCGGGCAGTGCCATCTCCCACACGGTTAGCACCCCGGAGTTGGCCAACACCAAGCAGCAGGGCACGCAGGGCTACAGCACCACCCACATGCTGAAGAACCACCTCTCCCGGCCTCCGCCACCCTACCCCAGTTTCCGACCCGCCACCAGCACCCCTGACCTGGCCAGCCATCGCCACCGGTGCATGGGGGGCAGCAGTCCAGAGCTGGTCACCCGCAAAGTGCAACTGTCGGTGAAGACGTTCAAGCCGGACAGCTCGGCAGTGGTGCACCAATCCCTGCAGGAGGTCAGTGAGCCGCTGACAGCCTCCAAGCACCACTCGGCCCTCAGCAAGCGGCCCAGCCTGGAGGTGATCAGCAGCATGGTACGCGGTATGGAAGCCATGGCCATGAAGACCCTCAATGCACCATTGCCCCGCAGGAACACCTTAAGGGAGCCCCCGGAGATGCCTGCTCAGAAACCTGCCGAAGCCCCTGCGGCAGCCCCCTACCAGCACAAGAAGACTCTTTCCAATGCCACAATGCTGATCCACAGTAGCGAGAGCGAAGAGGATGAGGAGGAGGAGGAAGAGGAAGAGTCCCCCGACCTGGATGTCCAGATCCCGGCCCTCAACGAAGACATCAGCGTCCAGCTGCAGGCTGCCCTGGCCAAGATGCCCAATAAGCCGCCCCCTGATTATCCCGGGCCCCGGAAGAGCGTGAGCAACAGTGTCATCCGGCCCGAGCGGGGTCACGAATGTGGACCAGCACCTGAGGATGAGGAGGAGGACAGCCAGAGTCAGTCAGGCACGCTAACACGCACTGAGCCTGCTGGCCTCAATGGGTCCGTGCTGGGGCCGTCCATCTCTGAACCAGACTTGACCAGCGTGAAGGAGCGAGTCAGGAAAGAGCCTGTCAAGGAGAGACCGGTGTCTGAGATGTTCTCCCTCGAAGATAGCATCGTGGAGAGTGAAATTAGGCTACGGGTAGGCCTCTATCACCGTTTCGTATTCTGTAGCTATGTTCCTCTTCCCTTTCCTCATTCTGTTGTCTTCCAACACATGGGATACCTTTAGGAGTTGTTGGCCCTGACGTATAAGCGGAGTGGCCCTCCTTTAAGGGCTACTCCCCACATTTTCCACATTCTTCCCCGATTGTCATTAATCTCGGGATTCCGCACATGCAGTAACGTTTTAGGTCTTATGAGATTAGCGCTAATTCCCTTTAAAGCTACCGATTATGCTACGTGTTTGTGAGTTTCGGATTTCTGAGCGTGAATGGGAGCCGTTGGTTTTGGAGGGGGCAGTGGAGTGGAATGAAGTACAGAAGAGAGACTCGGTGATCATATGGGCTGTCTGCCGTCTCATACCGTTTACATTTTTGTTTAGGAATTAGATCAAATAATAGTATATGTTCTTGTGAATATATATCAATCCTTGGTTCCTCTCCAAAAATAAAATTTTAATTAATAGTAATCCACTTGGAATTTTAATTAATTGTACTTTCAGTGAAATGAAAATTGAAGCTTTTCATCTTGTGAGAACTGTAATTAGGTCTCTTAAATCTGCAGTTTTTGTCCTGTAATTCTCATCTCACATTTTTGGGTATCCCAGCGGGCTTACATGCATGGAATTTCATTATACTGGAGTGCTTATACGCTCGATTGAACTAATTATCATACTAATTGAGCCAATTTAGCTTTCTCTTCTGGTTAAAGAGGGTGGTATTCCTTTACGTGAAGTGGAATACTCGTACCCACCATGGCCTGTCAGAGTGAAGGGGAGTGAAGGCTGTTTTAAAAAGCCACTCAGCCTTTCTGAAGTGAAAATTCCGCCTGGAGTTCTTGAGAACGACGCAATACCTTTTGCATTCTTGAGTGGCACAGTCACCGTGCTCATCCGCACCTCATTCAACTCAACTGTGAGCCATGCTGTTTTCTGGCAGACAGCGGAAAGGCCTCTTAAAATTAGCCGATTAGTCCCTCTAATCCCAAGCCACCCTTGGTAAGTAGGGCAGGGTTTGTGGTTGCAGTGAGAGAACCCGAGGGTCAGGTTTTAACGAGCGTGGAGAAGGCATTGCTTGTCAGGAAAACGTCCATGAACACTGACCGGGGGCAAGCCGCTGTGGGCATCCCTCACTCTGAAACCGCAGCAGTAATCCTGTTTCTTTGGACATGGCAATGACAGCAGATTTGTCCTCTCTCCTCAAGACACTGGAGAAGCAGAAGATGTCAGCGGACTCCTTGAAGAGGCCTCTCATGATGGCAGCTCTAAATGGGCTTTATGTGGCCCGAATGCCAGTTCCAGAGAACCAGCCGGAGGACCTCTCTAAATCATCCACAGATGAGTTGGTAAGAACCCAGAGGGAATGTCTATAGGGCGGGTTTCACATCACAGAAGGAATTCACTAAAACGGTGTTTCCCAATGTGGTTCTCAGGGACCTGCAAACTGTCCACCTTTTAGCTACCTGGAGCTGGGAGGAAGCAAAAACATGGACCATCTTCGGGTCCCCGAGGACTGGGTTGGGAAACACTGCACTAAAAGATTTATTATTTCTCAAGAGCTACTGCAAAAGGCTGCAGTGTTAGACAGGCTCTGCTTCTAGCTATGCGAGATTGAGCTTGGTTAGTTCCTGAATGAGAGTCCTCTGGGGCAGTGTTTCCCAATCCGGACCCACAGCTGGTCCACGTTTTTGCTTCTTCCGAGTTTCCCACCAGTTAGTTGCTCCCTCCTTGCAGCTATTATTATTATTATTATTATTATTATTATTATTATTATTATTATTATTATTATTGTTGTTGTTGTTGTTGTTGTTATTATTAATATTATTACTATTATTGTAATAGTCATTGTTATGGTTGTTATAGTTTGGTGGACATTTAATTTTATAAAAAGCGTGTCTGTCCACATGGACAGAATTAGGCATGTTTTTTTTCTCATGAGAAATTTAAGAGTATTCAACCTTTGGTAAAATGAAATACTGAGGTAGGCAGGCTTGTTGGCACTAACTGAGAGTGCCACTGTGGGTTTTCAGTCTTAAGAGGCACTCATGAAGTGACCTGTTCACCCTGAGATACCATTTTTCTCCCCACACTTCTCCCCGGCTCACCAAAGTGTAAGGTCCTGGAACGGAAGGTCCAAGAGGAGCGGGTTTTCACGGAGTATGAGCAGATCCCCAAGAAGAAGGCGGAGTGCGCAGTCACCACAGCCACACTGCCAGAGAATGTGGAGCGTAACCGTTTTCGGGACGTGGTCCCTTACGAGGAGAACCGATTGGAGCTAGTACCCACCAAAGAGAACAACACAGGCTATATCAACGCCTCGCACATCAAGGTGGGTCCATGGGGTGGGCATGGCCAAAGAGCATGTACCCATAATGCTTTGTGTAAAAAAAAAAATTGCTTTTAAAATGAAACTCAAGTGTTTCTTTTAACAGTATTGAAATTGCTTTTAAATCAATGCCAATTTGTTGGTATTTACATGAAACATACTGTTTTCCATGGATGTAGATGACAGCATCATCAAACATCATCATTCCCCACTGTTTGCACAGTTCAGTGTCTTTCACTGTACACCTTTCTGTTCAATCCTAGACAGCCCCAGGACATGGAATAGTTGTCTGAGTCTGATTCTCTGCTAGCCACTGAGGAAACAATAAGCCAGAATTAGCCTTCTCAAAGGTGTGATAGCAATTCCCAACTTAGCACTTTTTTCCAAATAATACAACTTGCTTCAGACTCTGTACTGGAGTTTGGTTGACTCTCCTTTATTGAATTGTTGTAGTCTTTATACCGACATTAAATTACATAATTAGTTTATGCAGCCTGCTGCTTTAACAAAGCATGCTGATGTTTGTTCTTTACTGAATTCTTGGCCTTAAAGTGCTGAATCACAGAAAATTAGCAAGGATCATAAGTAAACCTCATTTCCACATTTCGACACAGATTGTTTGTTCAGGCTGATGTCTGTTTTTAGCTGTCGTGGGGCATTTTAGTTTGAGGAGTTTTGCACATTAATGTAGCTGCATTGAATTTCAACAGGGTTGTTAAAGTGGCAGAGTGTCTGAGTCACTAGTGCAGAAAGAGTCTGCTGACCTTCTGTTGTGTTTTCCAATGAACAGATAAAACTCAACATCGCAGTGGCAAGCATAGGGTCAGAAAAGCAAAATATTTGGAAATACAAGTAATTATAATGTAATAAAATGAATAGTTCTGATTGGAAGCTGCTATACCGGTTTGGGGGATCCTCAGTCTTCGCCTGTTATTCTGGTCAGAATGACCACATAGTAAACAATATTATAGACTGTGTACATGGCTGTGAATCATGAAGTGGAAAATGTGTGAAAGAATCAAGAGTCGTGTGGGTATTATTTTATTTCCAAAAAAACAATAGCACCCCCTTCTGGCTAATATGTGCGTTGTATACTGTAATAATGCCTTTATATTTGTAATATAACCGTTATGTATTATTATTGAAAGATTATTTGATTTGATCATACAGTGAAGTTTTAAATAATATGTGGTATTTTCACCACCTTAAAAGTCCACCTCCAGCATGGTGTGATCATGCTTACTTGATGTTTTCTAGAGACCGTCTCTGTGCCCATCACATTTCAACACACCAGGCTTTATACCAGGCAGATGAGCAAGCATGTGTAATAGTATCTTGCTGATGGAAATACGCAGAAACTAATGTTGGGTTTTGTTGTTTTGTCTGGGTCTGTTTCATGTCTGTGCCTGTCCCCTTGCTTGGATCATTTCTTCCTGCGTGTACATGCACGTCTGTGTGTGTGCGTGTGCGTGTGCGTGTGCCCTCGTGTGTGCGTACCCCTACGCTCACCTTGCTCGCCTGCGATCAGGTGATGATCAGCGGGGAGGAGTGGCACTATATCGCCACCCAGGGGCCACTGCCGAACACATGCCAAGACTTCTGGCAGATGGTCTGGGAGCAGGGTGTTAATGTCATCGCCATGGTTACAGCTGAGGAGGTATGTAAGACTTTTTCAAGGAACTATTTTCAGTACCCTGACCTCCCGCCTCCAAGGAGAGGGACGGGCAAGAAAAAGACTGTTTTCCAAAAACACTGCTGTCCCATTTCATTCAGTTACATGCTTTATATATATAATATACATACATAAACACACACACTTGTATGCATACATATATACACACATACATTCATAAATATATATATATATATATATATATATATATATATATATATATATATATATATATATATATATATATATATATGCACACATATTTACATGCATATATATACACACACGCATACATATATTCACACACATACGTACACATATAATCTCATCTCAGAGAAAGCTCCTGCTGAACACACTATTTTTTCATATTAGAATTAGTATCAGTTAAGCCATAATTTTAATTTCTAATACCAAAATGAACATAGAATTTGGAAGATGCTGATTTTAGGTGAGGTTTAGTAGTTTTTTCTAAGCTCTGGGGGGATTTCGGCTGCTTTCGACCCCCTTCCCTGCGCCTTCCGTGGCTGAATCTCGTTGACAGCCCTGTTCTCCTGTCTGCGTGTGTTTGGAGTACCGAGCCGTCGGCTTCTCGTCTGTCCCGGCAGGAGGGGGGTCGCTGTAAGAGCCACCGCTATTGGCCTAAGCTGGGATCCAAGCACAACTCGGCCACCCACGGCAAGTTCAAGGTGACGACCAAGTTCCGGACGGACTCGGGCTGCTACGCCACCACGGGCCTCAAGGTCAAGCACCTGCTGTCAGGCCAGGAGAGGACGGTCTGGCACCTGCAGTACACCGACTGGCCGGAGCAGGGCTGCCCTGAATACGTGCAGGGATTCCTCTGTGAGTTCTTCAGCACTGCAGACACACCCATGGTCTGATGTCTAGAAACTGCAGAGTACCCAGAATGCACCTCCCACTTTATAATAATGGAATAGTGATACTGTACCCATCCCTGCTGGCAGACAGTTTTTGAAATATCCCACACACACACACACACATACATACACACACTAGGAGTGTAACGGTACTCGTAATCGGACCAAAATTTTTTAACAGGTTTTTTTTTTTTTAATGCTGCACCATAATGGATATTTATTTTGTTATGCTTTGTATTTTTTGAGACAATATTTGTGTTGCACAGTTCTAATACGAAGCTGAAAGCTGCTAATGTGAATACAGAAATCGGGTGCAGTTAATTATCTAAATATGCACCTTAATGGATATCTGTTATTTTTATTTACTTCAGAGAATGATTATTTTGATTTACTTTTAAGTCAATTTTTTAGTTTTTTATTAATTTAAGTCAATTTTATTTGTATAGTGCATTTTCACTGCAATACATCGTCTCAAATTAGTAGGTTGCAACAGTATCGAGTATTGAGACTTTTTATTTAAGAAAGACAAAAAAAGAAACAGATTGTTTTGTGTTTTACCCCCACTGTACCGAAAAATGTACCGAACCGTGACTTCAAAACCGAAGCATGTACCGAACCGTGAACCCCTAATATATACACAGGTGGGAGTGAGGTTAGGGTTAGGGTCAGGGAGTGAGGTCAGGGTCAGGGAGTGAGGTCAGGGTCAGGGAGTGAGGTCAGGGTCAGGGAGTGAGGTTAGGGTTAGGGTCAGGGAGTGAGGTTAGGGTCAGGGTCAGGGAGTGAGGTTAGGGTTAGGGTCAGGGAGTAGGGTTAGGGTCAGGGAGTGAGGTTAGGGTCAGGGTCAGGGAGTGAGGTTAGGGTCAGGGTCAGGGAGTGAGGTTAGGGTCAGGGTCAGGGAGTGAGGTTAGGGTCAGGGTC